TGTTATATCTTACATGTGATTAGTAAATTCCAGTTCCTAAAATCAAATCTTGAAAGTCATCTTTGATGAATTATTCAGAAATCAGTAATAAGTTTGTAAGTATTAATACCGAATAAAATATGTTATACTGCTATTACTGAATGAGTTGGTACAGGATCAATAATACTAAATAAACATCCAAAATTTGAAATTAAAAACACTAATTTCCTTTTTTTGGTAAGCGAGAACAAATTTGGCAAATAAAATAACTTAAAACAATAAGTTATGTTTTTGAGCTTGTATGAAATAAATTCTATTAGACCTATCTATATATATCATCATTTCAAATCAAAGTGACTTCTGCAGAGAAGTTTCAGAACTTTTCCTTTTGAGTGAGTATGTGTGTGTGTGTTTACATGTATAACAAATTATGTACAGTAAATGGAGTAACATAACAAGCCTAAGGAATATGCCCACCCCACATTAATGAAAAGAAATATTTAAAGCACAATAAGGAGGAACACCAACTCCTTCAAATGAGTTTATTCCACAGAAGGTTGCTTAATTACTGACTTTCATGATACAATTGTAACTGACTAAAGGTTATCCTCAGGAAGTCAGTTGCAAAAAAAGTTATCTTTAGTTATGCCATGCAGGACTCATTCTTAACCATCTCTAAAAGAATCTTATCTACAGGGAGGATTTCATGTGAAAATGTAGCATAACAGAAGGATAACACCATTTATATAGGTGATCGTCATAACTGAGTTAGGGGCTATCTTAAAGATGCCCTCATTATTTGAGGACAAGTTCAGGAAAAAGATCAATTTAAACCTAAACAAGAAAAGAATTAACTAAACTAAATCTAAGAAAAATAGTAAGTAACTCATTCAAGGATGAAGTTTATGAATAATTTTATGGATTAGTTTTTCTTCCAATCAAATAGATCAAGGATTCCCCACCCCCTACAACAGCAACAACAAAATCCCAATAATCTACACTACTGTTTGGTGATACACTGAATAATTGCTGTTTGCTCTTAACAAGTATTCTGTATGGATTCTACAAAAAGGAAAGTTAGGTGATAACAACTTATCTAGTATTGTCTGCTACACACACACACACACACCACACACACACATACACACACACAGAGCGAGAGCGAGAGAGAGAGAAAGAGAGAGAGAGATCTTTGTGTGTGGGTATGTATCATACATATATGGTTTGCAACTACAGTTCCTGACACAAAAGCTTTGGAATTTCCGAAGTGTTGAGAATGATAAGGGTGTCTCTTATATTAATGAAAAACCTGTTGGAAACCATCTGAGGTTGCCAAGGAAATGAACAGGGGGTGGGGCCTTAAGTTCTCTCATCAAATGTCCCACGAGGGGGGGTAAACTAGTTGCCAAGAGCCAAAGATCAATTAATCAAGTCTAATAAATGAAGCTTTCATGAAAGCCCAAAATTTTGGGGAACTTTTTGAGCTTCTGGGGTGGTGAACACATGAAATTGGGGGAGAATGGCAAACCTAGAGAGGGCATGAAAGTTCCCGACCCTTTCCCCACATCTTGCCCAATACATCTTTTTTATCTATCTTCCTGAATTATGTTCTTTGTAATAAATCAGTGATCTAGTGAGTGAATGGACTTTCTGAATTCTGTGTGCAGTTCTAGCAAATTGATTGAACCTCAGGAAGGGGTCCTGGGAACCACTGCTTTACAGCGAGTTGGCCAGAAGCCCAGGTGATGGCCTGGCCTTGCAGTTGGCATCTGAGGGGGTGATCTTGAGAGACTGAGCTTTTTACCTGTGGAATCTGATGCTATCTCTGGGTGGACAGTATTAGAATTGAGCTGAACTGAGTTGAATAATCAGATATACTTCTGGTCTGAGGAACTGCTTGTTGGGTTGGAAAAGTCTCTATGCACCCCCCACTGGACACTGAAATCCTACACAGTCTCTACTGTCCAAAGATAGAGAATGTTGATATGTTGATTCTTTAATCAGTGATTTATATAGAAGTCTTCGAATGGTGGAGAGCTTAATTAGCTATTGTAGCTTCATGAAAATATTTCTTATGAATATTGAAGAACCTTTCGTTGATACTGTTCTTACTATGGATTGACCTTTAATTCTATAGTTTAACCTTTAATGGACTCATACTGTGAATGTGAATCTAGCCAGGTGTTTCTCCCACAATTGAAATTCAGGTTTACAAACCATCCCCTCCCTGCAGATTTCTAATCACCTGCAGGTAAGTTGGAAAAATGCAGCTTCTAAATAACAAAGCTGAAAAGGAGAACTTGAAATGAAGTCCTAACTCTCTCTCTAGAATACATTTTCAATGGCAATAAGTAGACATTACCTCCTTAATGACTTGTTTTATTTAACAGGGACCTCCCCCTAAAATAGCCTCTTTCCAACTTTTTGAGGTTAACCACAATAAAAAAAGTGCATTTTACCTTATGACCCACACAGAAATATGTCTATACTTGTTGCATTTATAACTAAAAAAGATGTTCAGTTGAACAACTTTAACCCAACTATGTGCAAAGCTTTCTGCCCTTTTTTTATACTTCATTTTAAAAAATGTTGATTATAGGTTACCTCACTAAACTCAGCTCCATAATATATTTCTGAGTTGGAAAATCAAGTTTGAAAAAACACTGCTTTAGATCCAGGCTAATCATATTTGAAATAATTCCACTTGACATTCTTTAGTTGAGGTTCTGTCTTCCCAATGTCAGTCACTGCCCCTTATCAGCTATTCATTTTAAGAAAAGGACTTTACAGTGATGTGACCATTTTTCTACCTGACATTACTACCTGCAGTACTTTACAATCTCCCCATTTAAATAAAGCAAAATCATTGTTTCACATAGTAGAAATTTTATTCTGTGAAAAAACAGTGAAGACAAAGTAAAGAGCTAAAGGGGAAAATTTTTCCTTCCCTGGCAAGGAAAAATATCTGTTGTATTTTGGGTGGCTACTCAAAATTTGACTCTATTTAGCATTTAATTAAAAAAATCTGTGATTCAAGCAGTTCTTATAAAAGCAGACATTCTAATGCCTTGAGAGAACACTAGGGACAGCATTAGCTCTGTTCTCTGGTAATTTTTTTTAAATCTTGTAAAAATATCTGGCATATTTCATGTGATTTTCTATATTGAAACAGCATTTGAAGCCCTGACAGCCATGTTTGATAGAACTAAGAATGGCATTTAGCCATTTTGATATTTTCATCACTCCTAAAATTTGAAATGATTATTATTTACCATGATTTTGCTAGGGCAGATTTTGCTATAATTCTTTCTGAAGGTACTTTGTTAAAGTACTTGCTTCTGTCCTCAATTATATTTTCATTGTCTATTTAAACTGCTTTTCAGATTCTATTATCTTTAAATTAAAACAAACATTGCTTTAAAGAAGAAAAGCTCTATTAATTTTGTCAATATGGAGAGCGGCTATTTTCAAAACAGATTGTTTATTGTGAAGAGACTTAATATAGAACCTATTAGAAATGAGGTTCAAGCCCTTAAAAATATTCGGGACTTTCTGTTGTTTAAAATGAAAGTTGCGCCGAGGCTTAGCTGAGCTTATAGCCCAAGTGAATATTTATATATGAATTTATAAATCTTAGAAATAGAGTTCTATGGAAATGCTAACAGGCCCTGAGGTATAGCTGAACTTGTTTTCAGGTACTGCTATAATTTCCAGTGTGTGTATGCTTAAAGACGGCAACACAAAAGACTTTTTCTAATGCTGTAATTTTGTAGTTTTATTAGACTGAGTTATAGTATGGGAGAATATTCAGAAATTGCAGTTTAAATGAGAAAATGTGAATGGTGTTACTTATATAAAATACTACTGCAATAGTTCTTTTATTAATTTTTAATGTTCAGCACCCTCTGTGACCTCCTTTATTCTCTTGCTGTCAACATGGCAGGCTGGAAAAATTGAAATGGGCTGACAGAAAACATAGTGCATGTTACAGCCCAATGCTGGAGTCTCTTGACTCTATTTCTTCAGCACATGCTAACACAGTCCCTGTTATTCTGCATTACAATAATATTTAAGGTCCTGTTTGATAGCTCCTGATAAAAAAGGGTTGTGTCTGGACCCTGAGCAGGTGCTCTTTGTCAGCTTTCCTCTTTCTGACATTGCGGGAAGGATATTCAATTAAAAGCATAATATAATCTTTAAAAAAAAAATCCTGGCTCATAGACACACTTCATGCTCTCAAAACATAATACCTCAGCATGGATAGTGCTTTATTTGTGTCTATCCAGTCTCTTCCAAAAGCACATTTTGGTCTGATTCAGCAATGCTTTTCTTGAACAGTGGGGAACTGCTATGTTATGTATATTTACCACTGTCTCTATCACCAAGGAGACTAATCCCCATACCAGTACAGTCAAGAACCTCACAGCATTGTCTCTGCATGACCAAGTTCATGTTGTCACAGCAACAGAGTACACAGGGCAGAGATACTGTACAGGACTTTGGGATTAAAACTCTTATTGTTTCAAATGTAAGTATTCTGGGATGAGAGCATGCAAAGGTATGAGGTCTGCAAATGTTTTGCGGGCTGAAGCTGTACACACAGTATTTTAATGGTTTGTCTGGTACAACTGAAAGCAAGATTTTTTTGAAGGCAGATTTCAAAAGTCTAGGAAGAGTGGAAACTATGCCAGGCTATAAAAAAAGATTATAATCAGGGTGTCTATATTTTTCTTTTAGAAGGTCCAAATATTAGCCTTTACTAGTAAGTGACAAGACAACAGTGAATATAAGAAATTCTAAGGAAAGCAGAGACCACAAGAGCATACAATTTGTGTCAAACCTATCTTAGTATTCTTTCTTCTTGTGTTATCACTCACTTGAGCCTTCACACTCAATCTGCTCCATCTGTCATAGCTATTAGAAGTTTTGACCAACAGAGACTCACCATTGCTTGCAACACAACCTCCTGATTTTTTAGCAACCTCCAAAGAAGCGAAAGGCAAGGAGAGGACAGCACCTACCAGAAACTCCTCCATATGTAGTCCGCTTCCCAACGCCCACGGCGGGCCAGGGTGTGCCATCTGCTTTTAATCCCATTAAACCTGAGACAGTATTGGTGGCTGTAACACCATCTGCACCACCTATGAAAAACACATCAGCATTTACCCGTAGTTCCAAAAGGGACACTAGTTAAAACACTTTCAAACTTGCACCACACAGGGACCTGTAGTCTTTCTCTTGAGAACATTTCCTTCCTTCAAATGACTTCACTAATTTCATTCCTACAATTATGCTTCAAATACCAGACATAAAAACTTTTAATTACCACCATGCACTTTTCTAATTATTTTACAGATTTGTGGATGCCAAATGTTTTGTATTCAGTGATATTTTCCAAGTAATTTACAATATCTTTACAAATCAGGAAGCAATTTCCACTGGATAGAACATAAGCATATATGATTTATAAAATCACGCATCGACTACATGTTTTATGTATTCAATAAATACTTACTGAGCATATGTTTTAGGTAGTACACAAGGCCCTAGCAAAGGTAAAGGGAATGCAACAAATTTCACATATAGAAACTGGTATCTTCTCTCTTTCTTTTTATAACTTTAGTGTAGAATGAAGGTTCAAGTGCTATTGCTAGGCTGACCCATATCCACTATGAGATCATTTATTTTGGAGTAGTTTGCTGTAACTGTGGTTTTGTTTCACAATTCTTTGTGTGTTAAACACATGTTTATTAGGAGAAATTTATAAATATTCTTGGTTTTCCAGGTCAAAGTTTGGAATGCCATTTCCTAGCTTGAATATGGTGTAAATGTACGGCATTTGTAAGATCAAGTGCTCAATTTTACACTTAAATTCTGAACAAAGATACATATATTTGTGCTTAAAGATACACTTTTGTATGGCTACCTAATTCAGGCCCATACTGACAAAATTAGACAAGAGATGCAAACCTAGTTCTTACCTTCCTTTGCAGCTCTTGCGATGCTCACAATATCAGTGACATTTGGGGTCAACTTGGCAAAAAAAGGAACCTGAACAGCTTGCCTAACCCAGCGACAGATGTTCCGCACCAGCTCTGGATCCTGTTCAAATAGGTCAGTTAAATATAGAACATAATTAAAGAATTGTGATCAAAACGTGTACTGGAACAACAGCAAAGCTGGAGATATGCAAGACAAATCCAACTTGACAATGAGCTACATGATATATTTCTCAAATTCTTCCTCAGTATTACACCTAGACTCATTAGGGAACTAAGGTTAACACGCTTCAAGTGAACTGCAAATTCATCACATAAAGGTTAAATTCCTCAAGGGAGCTTTTGGAAAATAAAATTACAAAAGAACCAAATGGAAGCAAGTGTTTCTCACTTCCAGTTAAATAATATCAGGAATAAAAAACTTCTGGTGGCAAGTTCAGAAAACATTACAGAATTTTTAGTGAACTCATTGGGTTAAGACTTACAAAAAATATTTCATCTGCTTATTATATCAAAAATATTTCATCTGCTTAGGATCATCTGGTGAATGATATCAAATCTGAAGCCTTTTGTTTTAATCATTAGAAGACTTAGTCTTGTCGAAGCATATTCAAAAGAAAACCTGTGACTCCCTAATCAATCTAATTACAGTATATAGTATATGCTAATGTGAAATAATTCAGTATTGGATTATACATGAGCTGATGATTAAGTTTAGTTTACTTTTTAAAATGTTACCAAGATCTAGACAACACTTCACAGCATTCAAATAATTGAAAGAAATGATCCAAATGACAAAAATGAAAAAAAAAATGTTCATTTTTAAAAGCAAGGAATAGACATTTTCTCGTTCCTGTTTCCTGTGATTTTTCAGGCTTCTATTTTCCCATGGGACAAGTATCATTTGGAGGACAATCACCTATCTTTTCCATTGAAAATAACTTAGCTGTAGTAATGTTCTTTGATTTCAACACATACAATAGTCCTTTTTTCATTACTTTTAGTACAAAATGTATTCTGACAGGTACTGATAGTGCACTTTGATAAATTACCTTAAAATATGCAATAGAAATTCATTATTGAACTTGGCAATATTATCTTAGCAAGCTAAAATTTTTTTTTGAATAAAAGAGAAACCCACAAAAATATAGACATATATTTAAACCACGAAATAGCAGGCAAGTATATCATTTGTAATTAATATTTTTATAAGGAAGAAAGTTGCTCTTTGCATTTTAACCTTTTGAATCTTTTTTAAGATGATATTTTTAATGTTATAACCTTTAGAAAGAACCTTTTCACTTAGGTTTAACGTGTCTTCATCCGTCATCTTGTATTCCCCTAAAAGTTATGCATTTATAAGATTTTATGATGAGGTAATTTCTGTTGATTGTTACTGTCTCTATTTAGCAAAACCAATAATCTTAATGAGAAATCTTTGGCTTGACTAGTTCTCTTTTCAGAACACTAATTTCTTCATTAAACATAAATATTAAAAAAGCACTATATGGAAGGCTCTACAGGGCATACTGTGCATTATGAATAGTAAAATCTGGAGACTTAGCTGTACAAATTCTAACTCATGAAAATGGAGATCTGCCCCTGCCCATGCAATGTTCATGAAATATTTATAACCGCTGCATTGGCATTATGAAGGCAGTTGCATCTTTGTGACTTTCATTTTTAAGTTATGAATTTCCATGGGACTTAGCCTAGAAATGACAGTAACTCTAGATGATATGAATTGCATGTCCTTTGTGAAAGCTCTCTTTCAGGTAGAATTTGACAATAATTTAAAGATCACTTGAATTGCATAATAGACAGAGGGCAGCCTGATAAGAATTAGTGAAGCAAATTTAAAATCTTATTTGGTTTCCATAGAGTAAACACTAATAATCTGATAAAGGCTTCTAAGTGGCTTTCAATACTATTGACCACCACGTCTTTATAATTTACTTTGAACATTTGTCACACCTTTTTCTGTTGAGCCTCAGTAGTTGAACACTTTAAATGAATGCCTTTTTCCTATGATTTAACAATTCGGTGTGTGTGTGTGTGTGTGTGTGTGTGTGTGTGTACATGTATGTATTCCTTGACTACCATTAGTTACTTGAATCATCTATATTTTTAAATGCTATTATTTGAGTTCCCTATACTTCTTTAAGAAAGGTTATGTACTCAGATATATTTTTCTCATTTTCATACTCAGCCAAGTCAGTTGTTGACTAATTCTCATATCCAGCTGAAACACAATTTGATTATCTGAGAATTTTAAAAACAACTTCTGACCAAATTAATGTGACAATTAAAGACTGTTCCATAAATTGCAGTTTTGTTTGACAAGCATTAATGAGGACAATTTTAATACAACTATAAATGTGGCAAGACTAATAACATGATAAAATGAAGCTTTATACTATGGGGAATTAAAGGATAGACTATAATTATTCCCATATTTCTGGTTTCTGCACACTTTTGATATGAACATTCAAGATTTAAAAGCAATTAATAATGTAACCTGCTACTTGTTTTTGCATCTTGACCTTCTTATTTTCCAGTGATAGCATCAGATGGCATTGCTCTTCCTAACAAGTCAACTTTTAAAGTCTTATTGAAATAAGCAAATTATATACAACTTCCAATACCCCTTAACTCTTTCATATAGGAAATACATAATGTAATTATTATATTTCAAAGACAACTATCCATGCTAACAAAAAGTAAATAAAACAAAATCTCTGGACTAATTTTCTATTTCTGGCACAAAATTTTGTAGGCACTCAAAAAATATTTGTGTGTCAATGAATAAAGAGTAAATGAAACCAGAACACTTGCAATTCATTTATTCATCAAGATATAGATTATTTTAGGTTTCAGAAAAATCAGATTCTTAAAAATTTTATAAGCCCATCAAATCTAAGAAAATTTCTTTGCAAATCTCAGATGATGCCGAAGAATTAATGGACAATCATGCAAAAAAGATTAGCCTAACAACTCTTCAGTGCCTAATTCACAAAAGTTATACCAGGATCACCAAGTCTTTATTGATTCCTCTAACAGTTATTAATACTGCCAATCTCTGACCACTGTTCACAATTTCTTCCATAGCAACTGCTCGTGTGTGTATGTGTGTGTGTCTCTCTGTGTGTACTTCTCTAATACCTATTAACCTTTTTGTTATTTGTGTGATAACAAAAAAAAAAAAAAAAAAAAAAAAAACCTGTGGCAACAGAATGGGTTTCCCTTTACTGGAAGTCCTCTTATTCTATGATAAAAGCAGGAGTGCAATGAAGTCCTTAAGGGAATGAGTGATGATGAGTGATGCTCTTGGGGGACAAATAATGGTCTTGAGCATAATACATGAGGTAAAGAGACCAGACTAACTTAATGAAGTGCTGAAAAAATAGATTAAAAAAATAAAAGAAAAATATGACTTCTCTGACAATTTTGAAAAGGTATACCTCTCTATTCACCTGCAATTAATATATTCTAGAACAGATTCCTATGAAAATCAAACAACAAAGGCAACAGCCAAAAATGGAAACTATAGTCCAGAGTAGGTAGTTTGCTGCAATGATTTCCAGCTCAAGTCATTTTTTAAAGCTTAATTGCATAATGGGTCCTAGGAGAATAATTTTATTTCTAGTAACTAGTATGTATCTAGTTACACATTAAGAGGGGGTTCTATAAATGATACATCCTGCTGATTAGAGGTCCCCAAGATGACCTCTCTATTGTAGGACAGGCATTTCCACCAATTACCTAGGGCATCAAGTCTCTTTGATTTCATGCCCTGTACTAAGGAACAAGCACCAGAAAATGAGACTGTGGGAATTTCTTGATAAGCTAAATTACAAGTGAAATTTTTGACTTTAAGAAACATTTCTCTCCAATTTACCTAGTAATTTTCACTCTGTACAATTCTATTCAAAATGACTTTTTTAGAAGGAGGCATTTCCATGAATCCACTGAAAAATTTTACTAGTTATAAAGTGTTTTCCACTAAGGAATGTCTCCATCTTAATTCACATAATATGCCAGTAGGTAGCTAGAATTTTTATTACGTCCACTTTTCTGATAAAGAGAACTCAGAATAACCTGAGTACCTATTTTACCTTCTTAATTTTCTTTCCCATTATCATGTCCTAAGCCATCATAGTTTTTTAGCAAAATTGCTCCCTAAAGTAAAATTCAGTCATCAATTGTAAACTAGAACTATAAAAGGCTTCTACTTCATTTATACCTGTAAGGTTAGAGGTAGTTTCAGAATATTAGGCAAAAGTGATGTATTCATTATTCTATGTCAATAAAATAGCACAGAAAGAGTTAACTACTCCAGGCAGTTAACAACTCTAAGTACGACTATTAGTAAATGTGAAGATTGTGTATTGGAATGAAGATGTTTTCAATTAACTTATGTTTTAGTATGTGTCCTTTCTGCATCAGCTTTTCTGCTTTGAGAATTTTCACAGTGAGACAACCCCCTTGAAAAATCATGTGGCTATTTCCTCTAAAATACACTTACAAATAAACTCAGTAATTCTACTCTTAGTTACATATATAAGAGCCATGGAAACTTAAATCCTTTAGTCTTGCACATGATTGTTCTTAGCAAATTTTAAAAAAACTTCCAAATTGAAAACAATCCACTTCATCCATTAGTATGTGAGTGAATGAGCAAATTATGGCACAATGGAATAAAATTCACCAATAATAAAAATCCCTGCATCAAGCAATAACTTGGAATTAATCAAGAAAACATGAGTTAAAGAAGTGCATGAAAGTGTGCATTCTGTATGATTTTATTTATATGTGATTTCACAAAGGAAAACTATGATCCTAGAAAGCTGAGCACTGGTTACTGGAATATAGGTTTGGGGGTGAGGACAGTTACATGGGAAGAGACATAAGAAAATTTTTTAGGGTTGCAAACATTCTATTTCTTGTGATGGTGTTTACATGAATTCAAATATTTGACAAAATACATATACCAAATACTATATATAAATATATTCACCTGCTACAAATCTCATTGAAAATTAATTCTAAAAAAATAATTCTAAGGGTATTCAAATATATAGGAGAAAATGAAAGTTAGTGTCA